TTCATTCTCTCTCAATTTTCTGATTGGTTTGATTTGCTTCCTTATGTTTTGATTAATTAGTACTGTTAAATTGTCTTTTTAGAGAACTTTTGTTTTGTATGACAAATATGTATCAAGGGAGAAAGTGTTTTGGGTTAAGTAGTAAACAGTATTACTTTTAATTTCTTGTTTTAGTTTTTTTTGGAAGGACAAAAAAGTGTTCTGAGAGTAATTTTTCATTTTTTAAAAGAAGTAATTTGATTGGTACCATCTACGAGTTAATCTTATATGCATTATAAAGTTCTAAAAATTTTGGAAAGAATCGAAGTTATAGATTCAATATTGGAACGATTTTTGTATTTCTTCCTTCATTCTCATCCAATAAAAAAGATTGCTTTTATTGTTACACAAATAGAATTATGTTGGATAATTTTCTTGGTAGATTTCACTTTAATTTCTTTTAGTAACAAGTAATTCAAACCTCGTTTTAGCTTTTTATGAATACATTTTGAGTCCAAGAAAATAAAATAACTAATTATTCAAATGAGAAACACAAACCAAAAAATAAGAAGCACAAAATTATAAATAATTTAAAAAATATTTCTATAAAAATAAGAAACAAGAAGTAGAGTTGAATATTACAATGTGCACATGTAAAAAGGAAAACAAAAATATTATCAAAATAGAGCTTTACCCAAATTAATGATATTTAATCTACCACAAGGGTGTGAGCCAAAATAATATAAAATATATAGTTAGGAATTAAAATTAAAAACTTAGTCAAATAAAAGAGGTCGTTTATTTTTATGTTACTTCTGGTATAAAAAGTTGCGCTTCTTTTCATCCCTACAATAAGCATTTGGTCTCTAAATCTAATAATATTATCCCATTTGAATATAGTCTTACAAAATTTTACTTTAATTAAGAATTTAACCTAATTTTTTTTATATCTACGAAGACATGGTTCTCGTAATTTTGATATCCCATCCTTTCTGGGTGGGGAAGATGATTTTCGTGGTAGATTTGAGGATCTTACGTGGCCCCCTCAATTTACTAGCCTCATGGATAATTTCATTACCCTCACGAGCAAGATCACATCCCTCGTTACGAGCTTGTACATACTGCACATACTTCTAGAGCTGATTGGACTAGCTACGACACTAGATGCATTATGCCAAAGTTCCTCCACCAAATTGTAGTACGTAATTATCTCCAAAAATCTCGGTCTTTTAATAATCTTTCTCCTTACATAAATATCCATCATTTGGATCAAATAAAAAATTTATCTTATTTATTAATTAACAAACTCCTTACTACTAATCTTCCCATTTCTTATAGATCTATTCATCCACATGACCTCAATATGATAAAATCCCACTATAATTACTTTTTATAAAACAAAGTGACAACAAAAATATTTTCGTTCTTTTAACACAACGATCTAAATTCTAAGCACACAAAATATATAAATGAGAAATAAACAAAGGTTCAAATTGAAAGAGCACAATTTATTAATCAACTTGTTTAAGTGTAACTAAGAGAGACTCAATCTGTTGTACACAAAGAGCTAAAGATGGGTGTTCTATCAGTTATTCTATTTTATGCAA